CCGGGACTCGGTGCTGGCCGCCTCCCGGGACTACCGCAACATCATCGAGCGGCTGCAGGTACTGCCGGGGGCAGCGAGCCTGCCTGGGGAGGGGGGGCCCGCACCCAGCTGTGCTTCTGGAGCCAGGGAAAGGCCCAGGTGGGCGGAGGGGCAGGCGGTGCCGTGAGCGCAGTCAGAGGCCCACGGACAGACGGACAGACGGGCGACCAGGAGGGGAGCTGCCGGCGAGGAGAGAGCTCCCCACAGTCGCGGTCTTTAAAGGCTGCTCGTAGGTTTGCAGGTTTCTTGCCGAAGCCTGGGGACCGTGCGCCTCTGAGGAGGGAATATTCTGCATGTTCTTGGAGAGTAAAATGAAACGCAGAAGGGCAGGTGCTGCTTGTTAGAAAGACGTGGCCAGGGGCTAACGGCTCCTCAGCGTCTACTGAGTTCTTGCCTGAGCCCCTGGCGTTAGGAGACTGCCCGGGACAGCGGAGGTGGTCGGGAAGGTATGACAGTCACTCGCAGGCTCAACGCTTGTGTGATTAATCCCATGCAGACACCCCTCGCTTAACCCTAGCCCCCTCCCTGCCATCGCTTCGCCGTCTTTGTCTGTCGGTCTCCCCGATTGTCGAATGTCATACATTGGACGACACAGTGCGAATCGGCTGCCGTGTCGGGTCCAGACCTTGCAAAGAGGCCGGGTTTCACGTGCACGGTGTCGAAGCGCCATCCAATCCCATCCGTGCTGTCGACGAGTGGAGGTTTGTGAGTTAGCACCAGCACCGATGGGATCGGAGGAGAGGAACTCGGGTGCTTTCCCAGAGGAACCTCCCCAGGAAACTGCTGAAACCCTCAGAGGATTTGCAACGGTGACCCTCTTTTTTTGACCGTGCGGGGGAAAGTTGATAGGAATTAAGGAATGTTGCAATCCCATTGGGGAAATTCCCGCCCCTCACCCGCGAGAATTAGTTTGATTCATTCACTCATTCTAAATACTATCGAGTGATTATAAATGTTGTCAAACCTAAGAGAAAGTTATATCCACATATTTTAGATTTAGTTTCTGGGCAAAAGACCCATCGATTTTTCGTTGACCACGACCCATGAAATTTGGGCCCCAGTTGGGGCGAACGCGAGGTCAGTGGCCTTTCCCACGTGCGTCTCCTTGGTTCTCTGGCTCCCCCTGCGTTACCCAGCATGCCGTGTTCTGCCCGGCCCGCCTGAGCCAGGATGGCTGTAGCGAGGGTCTCGTCACGGAGCCATCAGCCGGCGGCAGCGTCTTTGGGAGATAATTTCTCATGCGTTTCCCGCCATTTGCCTGTAGACGGTGTTTGTTGTGTTGGTTTTGCTGCTCTTTCAACTTCTGTTTTCCTCTCCTGCAGCTGTGTGTGTTGCATTTGAAGACCGTCATGCTATCAGGGTACATGTATTTAGCATGTAGATACCGCATGTTCATTCATTTGTGTTCTCATTTCTGTACGGCTTTTTAGTCCATGAATAATTCATGCTCAGTGAAAGTAATTGGACAGGACTCCATGCCAATACAGTGGAGAAAATCAGCTCCCATAATCCCACCACCAGGCCACCGTGATGTCATTTTTAAAAAATATTTATTATTATTATTTTTTTAATCCTCACCCGAGGGTATTTTTCCATTGAATTTTAGGGAGAGTGGAAGAGAGAGGGAGAGACAGAAACATCGATGTGAGAGAAACACATTGTTTGGTAGCCTCCTGCATGTGCCCCAACCAGGGCCTGGGCTGGGGAGGGGCCTGCAGCCGAGGTACGTGCCCTGGACCAGAATCGAGCCCGGGACCCTTCGGTTCGCAGGCCGACGCTCTACCCACTGAGCTACACCAGCCAGGGCCCATGATGTCTGAATAGTGGGTGGTGCGTACCCTTTAGAGTTGACGTTTATAAAAGTTGGATCGTAGAGTCCACACCCCCGTGTGACCCTTTGTCGCGCTCACATCGTAGACATTGTCCCACGTGGTCGGTCGAATGTATTTCGCGTCCAGTTGTAACATCGGTGGGACGGTCCCGCGGGGAGCGTAGAGCCCGTCTGTGGGAGGGGGCCTGTGTGTGCTTTGCCCTCTGCCCCGGGGCTGATGCATCAGGTAACCGTAGGGCAGCGGCGAATGGCGTGTGTCGGTCCCTCTAACCCGGCGAGTCTCTGGGCGTGTGGAGGAGAGACGTGTGCGCTCGTCCTCCCGCCCCGCCCCGCTCCCCGCGCTGCTCCCTCCCAGGACATCGTCTCGGCGCTGGAGGACCGGCTGCGGCCGCTGGTGCAGGCTGAGCTGTCGGTGCTGGTGGACGTGCTGCACCGGCCGGAGCTGCTCTTCCCAGAGAACACGGACGCCCGGAGGAAGTGCGAGAGCGGGGGCTTCATCTGCAAGTGAGCGGCCCTCCCCGGGGGTCAGGGGTCAGTCTCGGGGCCCGGGGACCAGACCCAGCAGTGGCTCCCGAGGAGGAAAATGCCGGCCTGGCTTTCAGCTTTGCTGAGCACCAGGTCACGGTCCTGCCCCACCGTCCCAGTGTGTGGGTTCACTGTGGTTTGGGCAAGAATGTCTCCCTTTATTCTTCTTCTTCTTCTTTTTTTGGTAATTCTCACCAGAGGATATTTTTCCATTGATTTTTAGAGTGGAAAGGAGAGGGAGAGACAGAGAGAGAGAGAGAAACATCAATATGAGAGAGACACACTGATGGTTACCTCCCGCACGCCTGCAATTGAGGTAAGTGCCCTTGACCGGAATCGAACCCAGGACCCTTCAGTCTGCGGGCCGATGTTCTATCCACTGAGCCAAAGTGGCCAGGGTGAGAATGCCTCCTAACTGCAGGCCCCGTTCATGTGTCTTCTACTCAGCAAGGACTGACAGCGCCCCCTTGGGCTGCGACATGGACCGAAAAAGGTCTCCCCCTCCTGCCCTCGAAACTCCAGGCCTGTGGGGCCTCATAGCCTTCCTAAAACTTCGTAGTTTCTTTGTTTGTGCTGTGGGGCCATCAGCTAAGACAAAGAGCTGTCCCAGGCCTGACACCGAGGTCGGCCGTTTGCTGAACTTGACCGTGGGCTGGGCCCTGGAGTGTGCCTTTCTGAGTCTTCCCAAGGACAAGGGGACAGCGTGTGCTGCCCAGCTATTGTCGTCATGCGGTCTTGGCTCTGCTGGCGTATTTTAGCCACGTGACTGGCAACCCTCAGTGGATTAGCAGCAGATGGGGGGACCGCTCCTCCTTTCTCTGTGACAGGGGTCCTCAAACTACGGCCCGCGGGCCACATGCAAATACAAATATTGTATTTGTTCCCGTTTTGTTTTTTTACTTCAACATAAGGTATGTGCAGTGTGCACAGGAATTTGTTCATAGTTTTTTAAACTATAGTCCGGCCCTCCAACGGTCTGAGGGACAGTGAACTGGTCCCCTGTTTAAACAGTTTGAGGACCCCTGCAGTCTGTGAGGTCAGTCTCAGTGGGGTGTGGCCGCTCCTGCCCAGAGAGTGTGTTTGCTGTCACCGGCCAGCAGGTGGCACCATTGAGACGCCGTCGCTGGCTGTTCCCAGGGAGCCCTTGGTCAGTGTTGGCTCATGAACTGAGGCGTCCCCCGTAAGCGGCCGGGAACTGTGTTTTGTTACTGGAAGGTCCTTGCAGGGATGTAACGTGTGCCCCCCCCCCCCAGGCTGATAAAACACACCAAACAGCTGCTGGAGGAGAACGAGGAGAAGCTGTGCATTAAGGTCCTGCAGACGCTGCGGGAGATGATGACCAAGGACCGCGGCTACGGCGAGAAGGTACCGCCTTGCGTCCCACCTTAGAGCCAGGCGTGGCTGGGAAGCCCAGTGGAGGGTTAGAGAGCCGCCCCCCTTCAGGCGCGGTGACGTGACCGAGAGGTTCACTGTTTTTAACGCCGCGTCTCCGGCCCCTGGAGCAGCTGAAAGACCAGACTGACTCCTTTCAAAGCAGAAAAATTAGTTCTCGCCCAGAGGCCGCTGGTCACATAAGTTGATGTCGAGAAAGGGTGATGAGATTTCCCATCTGTTTACATTCCCAGCGCGGAAGCCAATGTCGTTTCTGCCTTAGGAGGTGAGGTGCTGGCTGGGGGCTCTGCTCTGAGCACGCTGTGCTCACCTGCCTCCTGCCGGGATGTTGCACGGTCCTCCCCCAGCTCTGCCTGGAACCCAGGCAGGCAAACGCGTCACTGTTTCTACTGGAGGTGGTGACACGGGCAGGCCTGGGATGTGACAGTGTGTGGGGAGCTAGGGTGTGCGGGGAGTGAGGGTGTGCAGTGAGCAAGGGTGTGCGGGAAGCGAGTGTGTGCAGGGAGAGGGTGTGCGGGGAATGAAGATCCAGGCCCGCAGCCCTGTCCTCCTTTCCCAGGCTGCGCAGGGCTGGCTGGGCACCTGCCAGCATCCAGGCGGCAGTTACATAAGCGCGTCTTTTTCCTGGAATTTAGGCTCATGCTGATGTGTGACCTTCAGCGCGATGGCCAATAAACGCAGCGGGCTGTTTACTGCTAGGCACTGGCGGCAGGGGCGAGGGCAGGGCCTGTGTGCAGGGAGAGACAGTGTGCAGGGAACGTTCCCATCGCCCCGCCCCGCTCCCTCTCCCTCCGCCCCCCAGGCCTGGGCCTGCCTTGAGATGACAGCAGTTTTCATTCAAAGGTGATGACGTTCAGGAACCGTCCCCTGGTGACAGCCAGGTGGGGCGAGCAGCACAGGCTGCAGGCGTCCGGCTGTCTCACCTGTCAGTCAGTCCCGTCGTTACCGCGGGAGCCTTTGAAGAAGAGGAAATAAAACTGAAGAGCAGCACCCCTTCCTCCACCGCCCCAGACCACAAGGCCCTTCGCTGTCACCGCATTTGAAGTGTGTCTGTTAGAAGAGGAGTGAGTGCTGACTGACTAGGACATAAGTCTCTGAGCTCAGTGGGAGTTTGGGGAGAAGCCAGCCAGGAAAGCGTTAGTAAGTGTGCAGAATAGATGCAAAGAACAGTGCCAGGCAGGAATGAGGAGGAGAGGTCTGGAGCGGGGGTGACAGCGGGGTGCCCCAGGCCGGAAGGAGGAGAGGCTGCAGATACAGCGGCCAGGAGAGGGGGTGACAGCGGGGTGCCCCAGGCCGGAAGGAGGAGAGGCTGCAGATACAGCAGCCAGGAGAGGGGGTGACAGCGGGGTGCCCCAGGCCGGAAGGAGGAGAGGCTGCAGATACAGCAGCCAGGAGCGGGGGTGACAGCGGGGTGCCCCAGGCCGGAAGGAGGAACCACCTAGTCCACGAGGGCTTTATTTTTCTTAAAGAGGCCTTTAAAATATGTAAAGTATG